CAAAAGAGTGTCGAAAAAACGTCATAGAAACCAAAGAGTTATTAGAAACTGTAGGTATGATTTTAAATCTAGAGAAATGTAGGCTCGTGCCGTCGAAAGAGATAAAGTTTCTCGGTTTTCTGTTCGATTCGGAAAAATATTGTCTAAAATTGACCGAAGAAAAAAGGGTTCAGATATACGATCTAGCAATGAAATTCCGGGATCTCCGTCGTTGTAAAATCAGGAAATTTGCAGAATTTATCGGAACTCTAGTAGCCGCGTGTCCTGCAGTTAGGTACGGAACTTTGTACACAAAGAGCCTGGAAAGAGAAAAATTTTTAGCGTTGAGAAAAACAAATGGAAATTATGATAGAGATATGATGATTTCGGAGAAAATATTGCCGGATTTAGATTGGTGGATAAATAATATAATGTTGTGCACTAACCCAATAAGGGAAGACCAGTTTGAGATGGAAATCTTCAGCGATGCATCCCTAAAGAGCTGGGGAGTTACCTGTGTCAATGAACGGACACACGGTTTTTGGAATAGTCAAGAACGAGAGGAGCATATTAATTTTCTCGAGTTAAAAGCCGTATTTTATGGACTAAAATGTTTCGCTGAAGATAAACGTTCGTGTGAAATATTACTACGCATTGACAACACAACAGCGTTGTCGTATATAAATCGTATGGGTAGTATTCAATTTCCGAAGTTGTCAAGGCTAGCTAAAGAAATTTGGCAGTGGTGCGAAACGCGCAATCTGTGGATTTTCGCTTCCTACATTAGCTCTAATGAGAATAAAGATGCAGATGAAGAATCAAGAGTCATACAAACCGAAACCGAATGGGAATTAGCTGATTGGGCTTACAAGGAAATAAAACTGACATTCGGGAATTTCGATATAGACTTGTTTGCGTCAAATGTGAATGCGAAATGTAAAAAATTTATCTCTTGGCACAGAGATCCGGAAGCTTGGGCTGTAGATCAGGCTCAGACAGCAAGAATTCTTGAATTTTTAACGCATTGTTTAAAGCAAGTTAAAACATACGGCACTCTAAATTCATACAGATCAACTGTAGCGTTAATCGTTAGAGAAGAGATAGGGCAAGACCCGACTATTAAAAGATTCTTTCGCGGTACAGCTCATTTACGGCCTCAGAATTCGAAATATGAGGAAATCTGGGATCCAGACCCAGTGTTGTGTTATGAAAACGCTTTGGCTCCACAAGACATTATCGCTTGAACTGTTAACTAAGAAACTAGTCATGTTGTTGGCTTTAGCTACGGCTTAACGGAGTACAAACACTTACAAAAATAAGAATAAGTAATATTTAAAAAGTTGAAACAGAAATAAGAATAAAAATAACAGATCGAATAAAAACATCAGGTCCAGGAAGGTTCCAGTCGTTGTTACTACTGCCGATCTTCAAGGAACAACCACGGCTATGTGTGGCAACGGTTTTATGTCAATATATAGAGCTCTCGGCACGTATAAGAGCTGAGAATCAAAATATATTGTTGCTGACGCATAAAAAACCGCATAGGGCGGCGACAACATAGTCAGTTAGTAGATGAATTAAAAGTATAATGGCTAAAAGTGATATAGAGGTAGACATTTTTGGCTCACATAGCACAAGGTATGCGGCTACGTCGGCGGCATTTCGAAGAGGTATAGATATTGATGCAATTTGGAAAGCCGCAGGCTGGACGGCAAAATCGAACGTGTTTGCACGATTTTATAATCGGCCCGTTATGGAAAATATGAGTGTAGCAAATGCTGTTATTAATGCAATCACTTAAGTCTGTTACCAAAACTTATTATTAGTCGTTTATAGTCGGTTACCAAAGTTTATTAATAGTCGTTTATGATTTAAGAAGTGTATTCTAAAAGTTGTGTGTTTTAATACGTTCAAATACAAATTGCATTAAACTTTAAACAACTACGCATTGATCTAGAGGACAAGACGACGCAGCATAATTATACGATCAAACGAACTTACCTAAGTGATGTTCGATCGTGATTATGCTAGGCGTCTTGTCCGAATAGATCAAACCCACCCTTCTATCCCCAACCCTTTTTGATCTATTCATTAAGCAATTTGTTGGCTTTCAAATGTAATGGTGTTGAGTTGTCATGGAGATACCGGACCGCCCTCTATAGCCGGGGCGCAAGTTTTAATCGGAATTTGAAAACTGTGGCGAATCGAGCAACTGACGTTACTACGCATTGATCTATTCGGACAAGACGCCTAGCATAATCACGATCGAACATCACTTAGGTAAGTTCGTTTGATCGTATAATTATATGTATTTATATGTTTTAAAAGAAATATATAGATTTGTAATTAATAAATACTTCTATACGTCGGCGGCATTTCGAAGAGGTATAGATATTGATACGATTCGGAAAGCCGCAGGCTGGACGGCGAAATCGAACGTGTTTGCACGATTTTATAATCGGCCCGTTATGGATAATACATTCGAAAGACACCATATTTTAAATACTAATGATATAAAATTAAAAAAATAATATGTTGTATATTAATTATAGTAAAAGCTATATTTAGTGTAGAAAAGAGAAATGTTACTGAAAATGTGTTAAATAGAAACAATATGTTTAGTCAAAAATGAATGTATTAGTTTTGTAATTTTATTTAAAATATTATATTCCATAGTTCCAACTATAAACGATCTTTTTGCAAGTGAATGATTTTGGATTGTAATATCTAACGAATAGATTTCACTTAGTTCACTATAAATATCTATGAATTTAGATACTTTTAATTATATCAAAAAAAATCAAAAGTGATGTAGAAGAATTCTTAGAAAAATACTTAGAAAAATGTTTTAATTTTAATATCCTAATTCTATGTAAAGATAAAGATATATGGGCTCAATAGTTTGATAACGAATTTTTAGGAATCTTCGTGAGTGTCAACTAAAATCGATATCCAGATTCTCTCATATTTATTATTCATATCTAATGCGCAGAGGAATGAGACGGGGGGGGGGGGGAATAGTTGACAATGGTAAAGACGGAACAATCATTTTCACATTGAGTATTTGAAAAAAAACAAAAATCTTCGTGTCCTATGAGATATATGCATATATGCAATACTCTCTATTTCTCTCCTTTTCCGCCACTATAAAAAAACAAGCCCTCTACCTAAAATCAAAGAAGAAAGAAGTCTAATTTATTTTTTAGTACAAGTAAAAGCCACGATTTTAATAAAAATATGATAAAAGAAATTTGCTGAGACGGCTCGAGGAAATGATAAAATCAATCGTTGCTTTCTTCTGTTTAAAACGTGTCTCTAAATTTTTCCTAAGTACTAATTGTAAGACTATTTTGACTATGATTTTCTGGTTCAGCAAGTGAAACTGAGTGAAAAAAGGGTGATCCCAACGATCCCTGTGTGCTCCCCAAACTGCATACCATCCTCTAGTTGCGAGACTTATATGTTGTGTTAAGGAGATGTGTGCGCACGCGCGTGTGTATGTGTGTATGTGTGTGTGTGTGTCTGTACGGTAATATTAAGTTTAGTTCTTAGGTATTTTTTTGTATTTTTTTTTATTATACATATATGTTGAGACGGTTACTCCTTTGTAACTCTTAGGGCCAATTTTACCAAGCCCGGTTAGATGAACCGACGGTTAAAATTAGTAGGGTGGTTAACTGAAATGATATGAATGCTATGGTTTTCCTTCACCTCTATTTTCTGTTGGCGATCCTGCTAATTTTAACCGTCGGTTCATCTAACCGGACTTGGTGAAATTGGCCCTTAGAGAAACAAATATAAGGAATCTATCTAATAAAATATATACACGAATAGAACTGTTACATCGCAATTAGTATAAATTAAAATAAGATGATATTACTCGACAAAAACATTCGCATTTCTTAATATTACTTGATTCTCCCTCCCCCTCCCCCTTTCCTTCTCTCTCTCTCTCTCTCTCTCTCTCTCTCTCTCTCTTTTCATTTTACTACATAATCCTCTTTATAATCTTTTATTTCGCCAAATACATAATAACCAAACAAGGATGGAAATATGTTACAAATTATGTTTGTCAACTTATAATCGCCATAACTTGTTTACGACAGCAATTGATCAAATAATTGACAAATTATAACAGCTTAATTTTGTTCATGACTGCACGGATCCTTTTTACATGTATAACTCGCATGGTAGTAAGCGCTTTTTCTATGTTCGTATCGTATGGGAGAAAATCGACGCAGCATCGTTCAAGGATCGCAATTTTGCAATATGTCGTAATTCAAATCGGTTGCTTCATTAAAGAAGTAACATACAGACGAACACATTGATCTAGATTACATTGCACTGCATGTAAAAATCTAGATAGATAGTACACATTGCCGTGAAGTTGTGAAATCAGTTGTTGAGTTGGAAATAACATCATGACGCGATACGATTAATCAAACGCCGTTGCCATATGTCTTTGCAAATTAGATATCGTAGAAAATAAGATCTAGCGATTTGCTCATGCAAAACGCGTTTACACACAAAGAGGAAGAGAAATTTTCGAGAGAAATAAAGCATCTACATCAAAGATGTATTACGGATAGCCCACAAGATACAAAGATATTCTTTTCTGCTTGTATATATTTGATCTTTGAATAATGTTGTAAAATCTCATCAGTTAATGAATATGTAGAGATGATAAGTCATGTACAATGTATATATCAATTGCATGCACAGATAAGCAAGCGCACGAGATAACTCGTATCATACTGTAATATTTATTATATTGCTTTATAGATAAATTGTTAATTAGTATAGAGTAAATTGTTTCAATTAATTTTTAGACATTTTTATATTCTAAAAATTTGTGCTTACTAAGCATAGAGTCAATTTGATTTTCAGTAATTGTTTTAAATAGATATCTAATTCAAAGAGTTGTACTTTAATTAAAATTTTAAATTTTGTCTATTTATATCCTTAATTTGGTTTAAATTTATGATTTAAAACTTATTTTTTTTTTTGCTTTTGGAATAATGGATACATATAGATATGAAACGAAGGCCAATGAGCCAGTTTCGCTTGGCATTTGGTTTTGATGTCGACAAATTTTTCTTTTCTTCCGTGACAAGAAAAACTAGTTTACGATATACTTGCGACACTGTAGGCAGAATTATGAGAATTGGTGATATTCGAGCTGACTTTATGGTAAAGTATTGACGATAGTTTCGAATCCTGGTACTTTCGGATTTAGCTATGCTGTTGATCCATGTTGCTACTTTTTGAGCTCACGACGGTCGTTTATGAAATTCATTGAGAAATCCTTGATAATCCTCTATAATCTAGTAAACAATGTGTCACTAGTTTATTAATAATATGCAACAATTGCTAATACGCACACACATTATGTACACATTATATATTATATGTATATACGAGTATACCAGGTATTTTAGGGCCCCTGTTATAAACTTTGAGAGGTGATAGGACTGTGAAAGTATCGTTTTTTATTAAGCAATCCCTGTCCTCCGACCTTAAGGAGCTCCGCGTCCTGGAATCCTGGCGCCTGTCGGTAGGCAACCTAACGGTGAAGAGCACAGATCTGGGTATTTTAATCAGTTCTTCCCTGTTGTCAACAAGGAGTGGAGGTGACTACACAGTACTTTTGACATGTCTCCAGAGATAAAAATCAAGAGGGTTGAGGTCACGAATGCGACAGGTCCCCCTCTCCCTATCGCTTAAGGACGCGTCGGAGGACAGGAGTTGCTGAATAAAAAACGATGTTTTTACTGAGTCCTATCACCTTTCAAAGTTTGTAACAAAGGTCCTGAAACACTCTGTGTATATAGATATATATATATATATATATATATATATATGTGTGTGTGAAATATAAGATATTATACAT